CAGCCTGGCAGGTGAGACAGGTGAGACAGGTGAGAGAGACAGGTGTGTACAGGTGTGCACAGGTGTGTCACCCGGTGTGCACAGGTGTGTCACCCGGACCCCCGCCCAGCCTGGCAGGTGAGACAGGTGTGCACAGGTGAGACAGGTGTGCACAGGTGAGACAGACAGGTGTGCACAGGTGTGTCACCCGGACCCCCGCCCAGCCTGGCAGGTGAGACAGGTGTGCACAGGTGAGACAGGTGTGTCACAAGGACCCCTGCCCAGCCTGACAGGTGAGACAGATGTGCACAGGTGAGACAGACAGGTGTATCACCAGGTGTCACCAGGTGTGCCCAGGTGTACCCAGGTGTATCCAGGTGTGTGTCTATGAGTGCCCAGGTGTGCCCAGGTGTCCCCAGGTGTGCCCAGGTGTGCCCAGGTGTATCCAGGTGTGTGTCTATGAGTGCCCAGGTGTACCCAGGTGTACCCAGGTGTGCCCAGGTGTGCCCAGGTGTGTGTCTATGAGTACCCAGGTGTATCCAGGTGTGCCCAGGTGTGCCCAGGTGTATCCAGGTGTACCCAGGTGTGTGTCTATGAGTACCCAGGTGTGCCCAGGTGTGCCCAGGTGTATCCAGGTGTGTGTCTATGAGTACCCAGGTGTGCCCAGGTGTATCCAGGTGTATCCAGGTGTGTGTCTATGAGTGCCCAGGTGTATCCAGGTGTACCCAGGTGTGCCCAGGTGTATCCAGGTGTGTGTCTATGAGTACCCAGGTGTATCCAGGTGTACCCAGGTGTATCCAGGTGTACCCAGGTGTACCCAGGTGTGTGTCTATGAGTGCCCAGGTATCCCCAGGTGTGTCCAGGTGTGCCCAGGTGTGTGTCTATGAGTGCCCAGGTGTACCCAGGTGTACCCAGGTGTGTGTCTATGAGTACCCAGGTGTGCCCAGGTGTGCCCAGGTGTATCCAGGTGCGTGTCTATGAGTGCCCAGGTGTGCCCAGGTGTACCCAGGTGTGCCCAGGTGTACCCAGGTGTGCTCAGGTGTGCTCACCTGTCCCGCAGGAGGCGCTGCTGAGGCTGGGCCCTGTCACATTCACTGTCAGCTCAATGGGGTTCCCCCAGATGAGATCCCAGGTGTACCCAGGTGTACTCAGGTGTATCCAGGTCTGTGTCTATGAGTGCCCAGGTGGGCCCAGGTGTATCCAGGTGTGTGTCTATGAGTACCCAGGTGTGCCCAGGTGTATCCAGGTGTATCCAGGTGTGCCCAGGTGTGCCCAGGTGTGTCTCACCTCTGTTTCGGATCCTTTTTCAGCAGCCCAGCGAGCAGATTGCGGCTCTCGGGCCCCAGGGAGCGCGGGAAGCGAATGTCCTCGAGCAGGATGAGCTCGAAGAGCCGCTCGTGCTCAGGTGTGTGTGAGTGTGGGAGTGCCCAGGTGTGCCCAGGTGTGCCCAGGTGTATCCAGGTGCGTGTCTATGAGTGCCCAGGTGTGCCCAGGTGTACCCAGGTGTGCCCAGGTGTACCCAGGTGTGCCCAGGTGTCCCCAGGTGTATCCAGGTCTGTGTCTATGAGTGCCCAGGTGGGCCCAGGTGTATCCAGGTGTGTGTCTATGAGTACCCAGGTGTACCCAGGTGTATCCAGGTGTGTGTCTATGAGTACCCAGGTGTGCCCAGGTGTGCCCAGGTGTGTCTCACCTCTGTTTTGGATCCTTTTTCAGCAGCCCAGCGAGCAGATTGCGGCTCTCGGGCCCCAGGGAGCGCGGGAAGCGAATGTCCTCGAGCAGGATGAGCTCGAAGAGCCGCTCGTGGTCCTGGTTGTAGAAGGGGAGGCGCCCGCAGAGCATCTCGTACATCACCACGCCCAGCCCCCACCAGTCCACCGCCCGCCCGTAGTCGTTGTCCTCCAGGACCTGCGGGGGGCACGGCGGGGGTCACCTGCTGGGGTCACCTGGTGGGGTCACCTGATGGGGTTTGGGGTCACCTGCTGGGGTCACCTGATGGGGTCACCTGATGGGGTCACCTGCTGGGGTCACCTGGTGGGGTCACCTGATGGGGTCACCTGATGGGGTCACCTGATGGGGTTTGGGGTCACCTGCTGGGGTCACCTGATGGGGTCACCTGCTGGGGTCACCAGGTGGGGTCACCTGATGGGGTCTGGGGTCACCTGATGGGGTCACCTGGTGGGGTCACCTGGGGTCACCTGATGGGGTCACCTGATGGGGTCACCTGCTGGGGTTTGGGGTCACCTGGTGGGGTCACCTGATGGGGTCTGGGGTCACCTGGTGGGGTCACCTGGGGTCACCTGCTGGGGTTTGGGGTCACCTGGTGGGGTTTGGGGTCACCTGACAGGAGCTGGGGATCACCTGGTGGGGTTTGGGGTCACCTGGTGGGGTCACCTGATGGGGTCTGGGGTCACCTGCTGGGGTCACCTGGGGGTCACCTGGTGGGGTTTGGGGTCACCTGACAGGACCTGCCAGGACTTGGGGAAATTCCCAGAAATTGATGGAAATTAACGAAAATTTCCAAAAATTCCCAGAAAATCCCAGAATTTCCTGGGAATTCCCAAAAAACTCCCAGAAAATCACGGAATTACCTAGAAATTCCAAAAAAATTCCCCAAAAAAATCACAAAAAAATAACAAAAATTCCCCCAAAAATTCACAGAAATTCCCAAAAATTCCCCAAAAAATCCCGGAATTTCCCAAAAAAATCCCCAAATTTCCCAAAAAACCCCCAGAATTTCCCCCAAAAATCCCAGAATTTCCCCAAAAATTCCAAAAAATTCCCCAAAAATCCCGGAATTTCCCAAAAAAATCCCGGAATTTCCCCAAAAATTCCAAAAAATTCCCCAAAAATCCCGGAATTTCCCCAAAAAATCCCGGAATTTCCCCAAAAAACCCCCGAATTTCCCCAAAAATCACGTAATTTCCCCAAAATTCCCGGAATTTCCCCAAAAAATCCCGGAATTTCCCCAAAAAATCCCAGAATTTCCCAAAAAATTCCCAAAAATTCCCCAAAAAATCCCGGAATTTCCAAAAAAAATCCCCAAATTTCCCAAAAAAATCCCAGAATTTCCCCAAAATTCCCAGAATTTCCCCAAAAAATCCTCGAATTTCCCCGGGAATCCCAGAATTTCCCCAAAAATTCCAAAAAATTCCCCAAAAATCCCCAAATTTCCCAAAAAACCCCCGGAATTTCCCAAAAAATCCCCGAATTTCCCCAAAAAATCCCCGAATTTCCCCAAAAATCCCAAAAAATTCCCCAAAAAATCCCAGAATTTCCCCAAAAATCCCAGAATTTCCCCAAAAATCCCAAAAAATTCCCCAAAAATCCCGGAATTTCCCCAAAAATCCCAGAATTTCCCGGGAATTCATGGGATTTCCCGGGAATTCCCAAAAAACTCCCAGAAAATCACGGAATTACCTAGAAATTCCAAAAAAATTCCCCAAAAAATCACAAAAATTAACAAAAATTCCCCCCAAAATTCACAGAAATTCCCAAAAAATCCCCCAAAAATCCCCAAATTTCCCCAAAAATTCCCAGAATTTCCCCAAAAATTCCAAAAAATTCCCCAAAAATCCCGGAATTTCCCCAAAAAATCCCGGAATTTCCCCAAAAAACCCCCAAATTTCCCCAAAAATCACGGAATTTCCCCAAAATTCCCAGAATTTCCCCAAAAAATCCTGGAATTTCCCCCCAAATCCCGGAATTTCCCCGGGAATTCCGGGAATTCCGGCCCCCCCGGGGTCACCTCGGGCGCCAGGTACTCGGGGGTGCCGCAGAAGGTTCTCATGGTGGTGCCGTGGGTGACGCCCTCCTTGCACAGCCCGAAATCCGTGATCTTGATGTGCCCGTCCTTGTCCAGCATCAGGTTCTCCAGCTGGGGCAAAAAGGGGAAAAATCGGCAACGGGGGGACCCCAAAATCCCGGGGTTTGACCCCAAAATCCCGGGGTTTGACCCCAAAATCCCAGAATTGCCCAAAATCTCAGGATTTGACCCCAAAATCCCCAGATTTGACCCCAAAATCCCCAGATCCAGCCCCAAAATCCCCCGGGGTTTGACCCCAAAATCCTTGGATTCAGCCCCAAAATCCCGGGATTCAGACACAAAATCCCTGGATTTGACCCCAAAATCCCCGGATTTGACCCCAAAATCCTTGGATTCAGCCCCAAAATCCCGGGGTTTGACCACAAAATCCCGGGGTTTGGTACCAGAATCGCGGGGGGACCCCAAAATCCCGGGGTTTGACCCCAAAATCCCGGGGTTTGGTACCAGAATCACGAGGGGACCCCAAAATCCTGGGGTTTGACCCCAAAATCCCCGGATTCAGACACGAAATCCCGGGGTTTGACCCCAAAATCCTTGGATTCAGCCCCAAAATCCCAGGGTTTTGACCCCAAAATCCTTGGATTCAGCCCCAAAGTCCCAGGGTTTTGACCCCAAAATCCTTGGATTCAGCCCCAAAATCCCGGGGTTTGACCCCAAAATCCCGGGGTTTGGTACCAGAATCGCGGGGGGACCCCAAAATCCCAGGGTTTGACCCCAAAATCCTGGGGTTTGACCCCAAAATCCCCGGATTCAGCCCCAAAATCCCGGGGTTTGACCCCAAAATCCTTGGATTCACCCCAAAATCCCGGGGTTTGACCCCAAAATCCTTGGATTCAGCCCCAAAATCCCGGGATTTGATCCCAAAATCCCTGGATTTGACCGCAAATCCCCGGATTTGACCCCAGAACCCCCAGAATTGCCCAAAATCCCAGGATCTGACCCCAAAACTCCTGGATTCAGCCCGAAAATCCCCAGGATTTGACCCCAAAACCCCCGGAATTGCCCAAAATCCGGGGATTTGACCCCAAAACCCCCGGAATTGCCCAAAATCCGGGGATTTGGCCCCAAAATCCGGGGATTTGACCCCAAAACCCCCGGAATTGCCCAAAATCCGGGGATTTGACCCCAAAACCCTGGAATTGCCCAAAATCCCGGGATTTGTCCCCAAAACTCCCGGATTAAGCCCGAAAATCCCCAGGATTTGACCCCAAAAGCCCCGGAATTGCCCAAAATCCGGGGATTTGACCCCAAAACTCCCGGATAAAGCCCCAAAATCCCCGGATTTGACCCCAAAACCCTGGAATTGCCCAAAATCCCAGGATTTGACCCCAAAACTCCCGGATTAAGCCCCAAAATCCCAGGATTTGACCCCAAAATCCCCAGATCCAGCCCCAAAATCCGGGGATTTGACCCCAAAATCCGGGGATTTGGCCCCAAAATCCGGGGATTTGACCCCAAAATCCGGAGATTTGACCCCAAAACCCCGGAATTGCCCAAAACCCCGGGATTTGTCCCCAGAACGCACCTTGATGTCGCGATAGACGACGTCTCGCGAGTGCAGGTACTCGAGGGCCGAGACGATCTCGGCGCCGTAGAAACGAGCGCGAGGCTCCGGGAACACGCGCTCCCGGGAGAGGTGGAAAAAGAGCTGGGAAAAATGGGGAGAAAAATGGGAAAAATGGGAAAAATGGGAAAAATGGGAAAAATTGGGGGGAAAATGGGAAAAATTGGGAAAAATTGGGGGGAAAATGGGAAAAATTGGGGAAAAAAATGGGGAAAAATGGGGAAAAATTGGGGAAAAATGGGGAAAAAGGAACAGGCGCTCCCGGGAGAGGTGGAAAAAGAGCTGGGAAAAACGGGGGGAAAAACGGGAAAAATGGGAAAAATGGGGAAAATGGGAAAATTGGGGGGAAAATGAGAAAAAACGAGGGGAAAAACGGGGGGAAAATGAGAAAATTGGGGGGAAATGGGGGGAAATGGGGGAAAAAGGAACAGGAGCTCCCGGGAGAGGTGGAAAAAGAGCTGGGAAAAACGGGGGGAAAAACGGGAAAAATGGGAAAAATGGGAAAAATGGGAAAAATGGGGAAAAATGGGGATGGGGAAAAACGAGGGGAAAAGGGAAAAAAATGGGGAAAAAGGGGAAAAAGGAAGGGGAAAAATGGGGAAAAAGGAACAGGAGCTCCCGGGGAGGGAAAAAGAGCTGAAAAAGGGGAAAAATGGGGAAAAATGGGGAAAAATGGGGGGAAAATGGGAAAAAAATGGGGAAAAATGGGGGGAAAATGGAACAGGAGCTCCCGGGAGAGGTGGAAAAAGAGCTGGGAAAAACGGGGGGAAAAACGGGAAAAATGGGAAAAATGGGAAAAATGGGAAAAATGGGGGGAAAAATGGGGGAAAATTGGGGAAAAATGGGGAAAATTGGGGAAAAATGGGGAAAAACGGGGAAGAATGAGGGAAAATGGGGAAAAAATGGGGGAAAAATGAGGGAAAATGGGAAAAAATGGGAAAACAATGAGGAAAAAATTGGGAAAATGGGGAAAAATGGGGGGATGGGGGAAATACGGGGGGAAAATTTGGAATAATGGGAAAAAATGGGGGAATGGGGGGAAAATTAAGAAGAAATGGGGAAGAAACGGGGAAAAAGTTGGGAAAATCAGGAAAAAATGGGGAAAAAATGGGGAAGAATGGGGGAAAATGGGGAAAATGGGGGAGAATGGGGAAAAATGGGAATAAAATGGGGAAAAATGGGGAAAATGGGAATAAATGGGAAAAAATGAGGGAAAAATAGGGGAAAATGGGGAAAAATGGGGAAAAATGAGGAAAAATGGGGAAAATGGGGAAAAATGGGGGGAAATGGGAATAAAATGGGGAAAAATGGGGAAAAATGAGGGAAAAATGGGGGAAAATGGGGGAAAAATGGGAATAAAATGGGGAAAAATGGGAATAAAATGGGGAAAAATGGGGAAAAATGGGGAAAATGGGGAAAAATGGGGAAAAATGGGAATAAAATGGGGAAAAATGAGGGAAAAATGGGGAAAAATGGGGAAAAATGGGGGAAAAATGAAGGAAAATGGGGAAAAATGGGGAAAAATGGTGAAAATGGGAATAAAATGGGGAAAAATGGGGAAAATGGGGAGAAATGGAAATAAAATGGGGAAAAATGGGGAAAAATGAGGGAAAAATGGGGGAAAATGGGGGAAAATGGGGGAAAAATGAGGAAAAATGGGAATAAAATGGGGAAAAATTTGGGAAAAATGGGAAAAACGGGAGCTCATTCTTAGGGAACGCTGCCCTGATCCAGGGGGAAACGAGGAAAAAGTGGGAAAAAACCACCCCAAATAAAAAGTGGGAATAAAAGCAGCAGGAAAACGGGAATTATCCAGGCCCTGACGCAGGGAAAAGGGAATTTTTTGGGATGGAAATTTGGGATTTGGGAGGGGAGTTCCCACCTCGCCGCCGTTGGCGTATTCCATGACGAAGCAGAGGCGGTCGTGGGTTTGGAAAGCGTATTTCAGCGCCTGGGGGAGGGGAAAATGGGGATTTGGGGAGGGAATTCCAGGATTTTCCATGGAAAAATGGGATTTGGGGAGGGAATTCCGGGATTTTCCATGGAAAAATGGGATTTGGGGAGGGAATTCCCACAATTCCCAATGAAAAATGGGATTTGGGGAGGGAATTCCTGGATTTTCCATGGAAAAATGGGATTTGGGGAGGGAATTCTGGGATTTTTTATTGAAAAATGGGATTTGGGGAGGGAATTCCCACAATTCCCAATGAAAAATTGGGATTTGGGGAGGGAATTCCTGGATTTTCCCACTGAAAAATGGGATTTGGGGAGGGAATTCCTGGATTTTTTATTAAAAAATGGGATTTGGGGAGGGAATTCTGGGATTTTCCATGGAAAAATGGGATTTGGGGAGGGAATTCCTGGATTTTCCATGGAAAAATGGGATTTGGGGAGGGAATTCTGGGATTTTCCATGGAAAAATGGGATTTGGGGAGGGAATTCTGGGATTTTCCATGGAAAAATGGGATTTGGGGAGGGAATTCCGGGATTTTCCATGGAAAAATGGGATTTGGGGAGGGAATTCCTGGGTTTTCCATGGAAAAATGGGATTTGGGGAGGGAATTCCGGAATTTTCCATGGAAAAATGGGATTTGGGGAGGGAATTCCGGGATTTTCCATGGAAAAATGGGATTTGGGGAGGGAATTCCGGGATTTTCCATGGAAAAATGGGGATTTGGGGAGGGAATTCCCCAATTTCCCCCTGAAAATGGGGATTTCTCCCCAGAATTCCCACATTTCCCCCCAGAATTCCCAGATTTTCCCCCTTTCCCGGTGTTTTGGGCCCAGAATTCCCAGATTTCCCCCCAAAATTCCCAGATTTTCCCCTTTTCCCGGTGTTTTGGGCCCAGAATTCCCAGATTTCTCCCAGAATTCCCAGATTTTCCCCCAGAATTCCCAGATTTCCCCCAGAATTCCCAGATTTCTCCCTGAAAATGGGGATTTTCCCCCAGAATTCCCAGATTTTCCCCCAGAATTCCCAGATTTCCCCCCTTTCCCGGGGTTTTGGGCCCCGAATTCCCAGATTTTCCCCCTTTCCCGGTGTTTTGGGCCCCGAATTCCCAGATTTTCCCCTTTTCCCGGGGTTTTGGGCCCAGAATTCCCAGATTTTCCCCTTTTCCCGGGGTTTTGGGCCCAGAATTCCCAGATTTTCCCCTTTTCCCGGGGTTTTCTCCCCGGAATTCCGGGGCTGGCTCACGGTGAGGAAGGGGTGCCGGCTGCTCTGGAGGACGCGGCTCTCGGTGACCGTGTGAGCGACCTCATCCTGCGGGAAAATCCCAAATTCCCGGAAAAATCCCAAATTCCCAAAAAAAATCCCCAATTCCCACCGGAAAAATCCCATTTTCCCCCCGGAATTCCCATTTTCCCCCTTAAAATTCCCATTTTTCCACCCAAAATTCCCATTTTTCCCCCCAAAACCCCATTTTTCCTCCCAAAATTCCCATTTTTCCCCCCAAAGCTCCATTTTTATCCCCAAAATTCCCATTTCTCCCCCCCAAAATTCCCATTTTTCCCCCCCAAAATTCCCATTTCCCCCCCAAAATTCCCATTTTCCCCCCAAAATTTCCATTTTTCCCCCAAAACCCCCCTTAAAATTCCCATTTTTCCACCCAAAATTCCCATTTTCCCCCTTAAAATCCCCATTTTTCCACCCCAAATTCCCATTTTCACCCCCAAAATTCCCATTTCTCCCCCCAGAATTCCCATTTTTCCCCCCAAAATTCCCATTTTTT